TATTAGGTCAATATTGACCTTTCTTAGAAAATAAGTCGGTTTAGCATTCATCCATTTTGGGCCTTCTCCCCGAGTCACTCAATAATATAATCAGTACTGTTCATAAATAAGGTATAGAAATTAAATATGCCTACCGAACCATAAAAAAATCAGGACACTAGTTCACAGTTCTACACCATTTTAAGCCTTGTATAATATTATTAAAATATTCCCAATTAAAATATTTCCAATTTGTAGTAGTTCAGCCCCTGTAGACTGTAGCACAGAATCCCAACTTTTAAAGCACCAGTGCTAATTCAAAACCGGACACAGATATACTTCAAAAGTATTTTGCTACTTATGACTGACTTATTTATTTCAAACTAAATAAATTACAAAATTGTTTCAGGAAGTGTTTTAAAAATCAATTTAAAAGACTAAATTACCAAGTCCACCAAATCAGCACAGCAAAATGACGGTCATAGGGCCCCGACAGATAACCAGACACCAGACACCAGACAGACAACACTGTAAGAACAATGTAACGCCACTAGAATACAGAGGTACAGGAAAACGGCAGATGCATAGCCCACTGCATGATATGATATCTTGCAGTAGTAGTAGTTTTAAATCAGTACAAAACAGATTGAATTTATTTAAAAAAAAAAAGAAGTAAAGTAGGGTGTGATCTTACGGGCAACCTTAATGTGAGCTTAGTGTGGGCCCTGGGTCAGCCGACCCCTCTGTCCCCCAAGAAACTTGTTATTAGTAGTAGTTGTGGTAGTAGCAATAGTAGTAGTAGTAGTGGTGGTCGAGCTGGTAGTAGTAGTAGCAGTAGTGGTAGTTGTAGTAGTAATTGTAGAGGTGGTAGTAGTTGTGTTGGTGGTAGTAGTAGTAACAGTGGCAGCAGCAGTTTTAGTAGTAATAACACTGTAGATGTAGCAGTGTGGGCTGAACTTTTTGAGAAATATATCAAATTGTGTTTTTTCTGAACAATATTTCCATCACGAATACTCTGATTATTTTATTATAAATTAAAATCCAGGCCTGTTCTGGTGTGGTATGGTATAATGATATGCTTAAAAGTTAAACTAAATTGAACTAGAATTGCTCAATCTGTGATGCAATCACCTAGAATATTTATCTGGGCATAGAGCAGTGATGATTTCAGGGAAAGAGACACGCCAAATAAAGAATCCTGAATAGAATTCTATGGGGAAAGCATGTAACACCAAAGATGGCGGTTTTATGCGCATATCCCACCACTCCCGCAAGAATGCCAATCTTCTGCTTTTTAACAGCCGAGCTGGGAAAAATATTTATAGCCAATCGTCTGGTTCCACTGATGTTAGTGCGCACTTGAGGTTTGCGACAGTTTCAAATGTTGTGGTGGCACTGAGGAGTAGGTGTGTGACCAGATCAGATGCTACATGTCCCCCAAAATACTACGTGAAAAGGCGTCAGATTTTATGTGCAGTACTTGCAATATGTGTTAGAAAATACTGGGGTGCCTTCTATAAACATGTATGCTGACTGTACCCATAACGTCAGTGCTCCGGTGGGATTAGCTCATGGCGTCATGTCACCGGCCCTCTGGATAGAGCCATAAACATCAGTGTTGTGAAACCTTGCTCATGAGTGCTATATCCTAGAAGTATAACTTGTGTGGAAAAACACCTTTTAAACTTCATTTCTGGAGCAAATTCATCAAACCTTTTCGGCGGTTTCATCAATTTTTACAGGTGATTCTATACATGCAGTTGTTATGTTAGTTGTTATGAGTGGCAGAACTTGCCTAAATATGGACTTTAATAAAACATTTATAATTCAACATGTCTTTTCAGAATCAGAATATAATGAAGTTAAATAGATCATCATATGAGGTTCAAATACATTTAATAAACACACACTCAAAGAAGCAGCTAACTCTTATCTCTTGTGCTGTAGCTACTTTAGTCAGTACACATGACCAAATCCTCAAGCATTTCACCTGAGCTCACCCCGGTCCCCCATTCCCCATCTCCTCAACGTTCGGTGTTTTTCCTAGACAAATGTGGGCAACGTCTTGAGGGTTTTATTCTCTTGCAGAATGAACAACCAACTGTCCCTCTCCCAAACTTCGACCACTCCTCATTACTTTGAGCGATTCCTTTTTCAACAGGCAGCTACAAGAAGCCAACAGTAAGTAAGTCAGGGGTGTTTGGCTCCAGGTGTGTGGCCACAGCACATATTGTATGCGAGGGAAAAAATAATTTCCTACACCCTAGGAGGTGCCTGAGGCTGCATCTTCACTCATCCCCTATCATGAAAGTTGACAAGAGCCAACAGGAAGCCTCAGAAGCACTAATGGTTTCATTCACGCTGACAGAAAGAAGACATTGGGGATGTTGACTCCATGGGAAGGGTCACGTAAACGTGTAATTTTAGCTAATCTTTCCTGTTGGATTATTTTTTTATATTTTATATATATATTTAGTATTCACAAAACTTGCACAAGCAATTTTCTGCTGGTCTCAGGATAAACCCGTCATCCTAATATGTAAAAGCATCTGTGATTGAAATCAATAAACGTACATGCCCTATTTATTGCAGAGATGAGATTCTGACTTTCTTTCTTTAACTATACATTAACTAAAATTGACAGCAGAACAAACTTCTTCAGTGACAGTGAATAACTTCCACGCTGACAACATATGTGGTTGTGATATTAATTGTGTATGTGCCGCTGTGTGCTTGATGTGAACCATCGTGCAGCGCAGCACGTGTGTAAATTTGACCGAATCGGGTATGTGAGACCGAATGGGCCCGGTCACTGGTCATGGTCGATCAAGCTGAAAACCGGACAACTGATCGGTGCATCACTAACTTGTTGTGCACCAAACTTGGCCCTCATCTGCTGAGCTGCAGTATTACAAAGGAAAGTGCTTTCCCCAACACTTTATGACTAAGGCCTCAGCAAGAACACAACCACAAAATCTTTACTTCATACAATGATAAACTTACTAGGACAGAAAACCCACAGCTGATTAGTTATGACATCCAGTTCAACAAGTGGCTTTTTTTAAACGATCAAAAATCATAATCTAAGTTATTAATAATTTATATTTGTGCAGGTGCATATTTATTTTCACTATGCACCAATGCTCCTCTATATTAAGCCATCATATGGTGATTAGCAAGTGGACATATACAGTGAGAAAAATAAGTATTTGAACACCCTGCTATTTTGCAAGCTCTCCCACTTAGAAATCATGGAGGGGTCTGAAATTGTCATCGTAGGTGCATGTCCACTGTGAGAGACATAATCTAAAAAAAATAATCCAGAAATCACAATGTATGATTTTTTAACTATTTATTTGTATGATACAGCTGCAAATAAGTATTTGATCACCTGAGAAAATCGCTGTTAATATTTGGTACAGTAGCCTTTGTTTGCAATTACAGAGGTCAAACGTTTCCTGTAGTTTTTCACCAGGTTTGCACACACTGCAGGAGGGATTTTGGCCCACTCCACACAGATCTTCTCTAGATCAGTCAGGTTTCTGGGCTGTCGCTGAGAAACACTGAGTTTGAGCTCCCTCCAAAGATTCTCTATTGGGTTTAGGTCTGGAGACTGGCTAGGCCACGCCAGAACCTTGATATGCTTCTTACAGAGCCACTCCTTGGTTATCCTGGCTGTGTGCTTCGGGTCATTGTCATGTTGGAAGACCCGGCCTCGACCCATCTTCAATGCTCTAACTGAGGGAAGGAGGTTGTTCCCCAAAATCTCGCAATACATGGCCCCGGTCATCCTCTCCTTAATACAGTGCAGTCGCCCTGTCCCATGTGCAGAAAAACACCCCCAAAGCATGATGCTACCACCCCCATGCTTCACAGTAGGGATGGTGTTCTTGGGATGGTACTCATCATTCTTCTTCCTCCAAACACGGTTAGTGGAATTATGACCAAAAAGTTCTATTTTGGTCTCATCTGACCACATGACTTTCTCCCATGACTCCTCTGGATCATCCAAATGGTCGTTGGCAAACTGAAGACGGGCCTTGACATGTGCTGGTTTAAGCAGGGGAACCTTCCGTGCCTGCGTGATTTCAAACCATGACGTCTTAGTGTATTACCAACAGTAACCTTGGAAACGGTGGTCCCAGCTCTTTTCAGGTCATTGACCAGCTCCTCCCGTGTAGTTCTGGGCTGATTTCTCACATTTCTTAGGATCATTGAGATGCAATGAGACTTGCATGGAGCCCAAGTCCGAGGGAGACTGAGTCATGTTTAGCTTCTTCCATTTTCTAATGATTGCTCCAACAGTGGACCTTTTTTCACCAAGCTGCTTGGCAATTTCCCCGTAGCCCTTTCCAGCCTTGTGGAGGTGTACAGTTTTGTCTCTAGTGTCTTTGGACAGCTCTTTGGTCTTGGCCATGTTAGTAGTTGGATTCTGACTGATTGTATGGGGTGGACAGGTGTCTTTATGCAGCTAACGACCTCAAACAGGTGCATCTAATTTAGGATAATAAATGGAGTGGAGGTGGACATTTTGAAGGCAGACTAACAGGTCTTTGAGTCAGAATTCTAGCTGATAGACAGGTGTTCAAATACTTATTTGCAGCTGTATGATACAAATAAATAGTTAAAAAATCATACATTGTGATTTCTGGATTATTTTTTTTTAGATTATGTCTCTCACAGTGGACATGCACCTACGATGACAATTTCAGACCCCTCCATGATTTCTAAGTGGGAGAACTTGCAAAATAGCAGAGTGTTCAAATACTTATACTAATACTTTCCTCACTGTATGTCCTATTAGCCAAACAGGCTTTCACAGGAGAAATTAACAGAACTGTACACTGATAACTGAGGAAACACACTTTGGCAGTCGAAGAGATTGATGGCATTAAGAGCTGTATATATCACTTAGTGTGTGTCAGCTGGTTTACAATAGGAAAGCTTGAACAACACTGGTAGTTTTGAGTAATGTCAATATGCATGTAAATTCAAATTCCAGATGTGGTTTGACCCCTTACCAAAGACTTCATCTTGTGATTCAGGATCTGCTGCTGCTGCTGCTGTTTTCTGCGCCGCCCTGGGTTCAGGTGACGAAGCCTTTAACAGGAACACAAAAACAGATTGAAGAGGTGAGGTGAGGCGCTGAGGTGCCATGGCAACAGAGCAAAGACAGAGACCAGCTGAGAGAGAGAGGACAGGCAGATAGTTAAACCTATTCAGGCTCTTGGGCTTTATAATTACAGCAGAATTACACTCAGACCCGTTCATTTAACATTCAAAAGAAGGTGCTAGGAAAAGTCATGCAAATACAGATAATTTGTATAGTGTAACAGCATTTCAGTTTTGTTTCTGAATGAAAATGGAATGTGCGTGTTTAGTATGTCTCACAGCGTCAAAATTAGGCAAGAATTGATAAACAATCAGTGGAGGTAGTAAGAAAAATAATAGCCCTTATTAATAGGTTAATAGGCTACTGTAAGCATGTGCACAGAATGGAAATAAGCGATGGAAATGGTAATTTGACCAGATGACAGCTGCTGTTGATACTGTCACTAGCTCCTTGTGTCAGTCAAGATTAAATGATTAAGGTTTACAGATATATTGAGGTTTTGATTGAGTCGCAACTCCTTGCCAGCTCTGGTCTGATTCAGGCAACATTGTTATACCTGCATGTCCCACAACTTAATCTCCCCAGTCAGTTTGGCACTAAAACGAATAAATCCCTATGTCATGTTCATTTCTTTCTACAGCTGATAACAAGATAGATAACAAGTTGGATTCTGTTACTTGCTGCTATTTAACGGTTCCAAGGGAACTAAATAACTGCATTTGCTAATCCTCCAATGTTATAATCCTCTTATTGATCCCCTCCTCCTCCTTGATGACATTGCACACTTATGTCCCACTTCTGAGTGGGTTTACCAACAAATTGAACCAACACAGGCATTCAAAAACTGTGGGCACGCTGCTCTGCCATTAGATGAGCATACCGAGAAGGGCAACTGTGACACAGTCCTGTGAGCTGGGGGGATGTGGTAGACAAGTGCGGTGAGCGAGCACTTAACAATGCAAATCGCATAAAGGTCAGCAAAGTGCTATGCTTTTGAAATTTACATTTTTTCAATTTTAATTCAATTATATAACAAATTATGTAAATTAGTTTTATATGAAGAGATTCAGATTCAATTAATAGGGTCAAGACAGGACTGAGATTGCACAATAACATACACACTAATTCATTTCATCAAAAAGCTCAGTAATAAATCCAAAGTAATTGTCCTACTGAAAAAGATTAAGAGACCTCCAGCTCCGAAAAGACCCTGAAAACCTTTCTTTAAATGAGTGGGGTTCTTAATTAACACACACACCTGTCAAAGTTAGTTTTGGTAATCCTATTCAGTCTTTTTTTGTTTTCTCTGTACTCTTTTCACTAGTTTGAAGTAGGTTAGGCTCAGCTGGAAAAAGCTAATGTTACGTGTACCATGTCCCAATCAGCATTTAGCAACATTTGAATCAAAATCTGATAACATCTGGTGGGTTTGTTGGCCACTGGTCAATCAAATCTAGGGCTACACAATTAATCTAATCGCAATCACAATGTCATCATGTGCGATTACATAACCACAAAAAATGTGCGATTTAATAAAACAATCTGTGTGCGCTGCAGTCTGCTCATTATCTCCGCCCACACCGGGCTCCCGCATGTGCCCCTAAAAACAGATAAGCCTACGTGCAATGAGAAAAATGTTTTATGAACAGTGTGCCAGTAACTTGTAAGACAACAACCTCCAGTAACCCCCCGACCTGCCTCGCCACTAATCAGTCAGAACATAGTCGAACGCACCACTAGAGCAACAAGAGTAATGCCAGTACTCCGGTTGCTCTGAGACGTCTGCAGCAGCTGAAGCGGTGAGACTGAAGAAAACAGGGAGACGGTAAGGAAGGTTTGGGTTTGGCTCGCTGGCCATTTAATGTTAGTTGTATCTGTGCCTTTAGTTGTTCAATATATTCAACTTTTCACAGAGCTGACGTGCTTGTCAGTCACTTTTCATCAACCGACTAATCACAGCCTGGATGGGATGGGGTTAAAAAAAGTTGTGCTACAGAAAATCATTAAATGTTGAACAATATGATTATTGACCATTTAGTACTTACAGCTATAACTGGTTTTAATACTCAACAAGTGGGAAAAAGTATACTATTATATGAAATTCTAATGAATGTAGTACTTAATATATTATTGTTATACTAACTACTACTAATTAAACATTATACTCTTTATATAATACACTCCTGTACAGTTCCTCCTCCAGGTTGTGGATAGAGACTTTGCATTAGATAGATGTACACTGAGCCAGTGCACCAATATTGGCTGCTTCTAGCCGCCTTCTCTGTAGAGCAACACGCTCCCCTTGTTCTGTTTTACTTTTTATTGTTATAAATATTATAATTCAACTTTGTTCAAGTTGAGAAATACAAATTTCAAAATGTCAGTATTTTGCGCATTCCTTGATAAATAAGCAAGCATACTCATAGTACCATTTGTTCCATTATAATCAAATTGCAATATTGTCCACATAATCAATATGACTATTTCTCCAAATCATGCAGCTCTAATCAAATCTTATAAAACCATACCCACACAGTCCTGATGAATAGAATTTTGAATGAAAGAATTACACTTCAAAGAACTAACTTAGGAGTAGAAAAGTACTTTACTGAGTGTGAGAAATAAGATTTTTCAAGCAACTTATTCCTACTAACAGCCAAGTGTGGGAGGAACATTTAAGAGCAGCTCTCAAGTGATGAGATGATTAATCACACGTATGTTCAGAGGAGGAGTAGACACTCAGATATTTATGGATGACAAGGATGACAATTTAAACAACATCTGCCATTAAAAATGTAATAAACAGCAATAAAAAATAAGTTTGTTTTATTTATGTAAAATCTATAATCCAGTAGCAATTAACATCAATCTAATACATTTAGAATACATAAATAGGGAAGAACATATAGGAAAGAAAAGAAAACTTAACAGGAGCAGGAAAGCAGTTCCGCTAAAACTACCTTAATTTGAATTCTACATATTGCTTCTGCTTACGTATTATTCATCATGACCAGTGATATTTTATGCAACTACTTAGAAAAAATGTGAGTGTTCATCTCTTTTTCTGAAATTTGATTTAAGTGTGCAAGTTGGACTAAAAGTCAAGGATTTTTACTTTTGTCTTTCAAGTCCAGCTAATTCACTCTTGAACAGATAAACAGAGGCCCTGGTCTGTGGCATCTGATATAATGGATACAGACACAGAGAGTGCAAGGCAGAGAAAGAAAACAGATTGCACTGTGATTTTTGTGCATTGATAGAGCTTTACATTATCACTGCATTCACACAATCTGGCACTTCAACATTTTTTTCCATCATTAAAGCACTCTGCATTCAACCTTTGTTGGAGTTTGTCCACACACACACACACACACACACACGCAGACACAGCTGTCTTCTCTCTCTCTCTTCAGTCTTTCTGTAAATGTAGAAAATTAGCAATGCTAAAAACAAAACCACATTCCAGGAGCTAAGCCTCCGGTGGTTGGAGTGATATCTTTGGATGCTGACAACTCATACGACTAAATCTGCAAGTAATGGATGTTTGGGGAAATTTTAAAATCAACAATTTGTACCTTGACATAATGAAACTGTTCTGAACAGTTATCATTATTTAGGCACTTTAAAGGCAACATTTGCATCAAACACCCTGTTTCTAACCCTGTTAGGAGTACAGATATTACATACAGCAGTGGATGAGGGCTCTATTTTCTTGAACCCTGCAAGGGGCTGCAGTCAACTGCACCCTTCAGGGGCATGCCAAGCACATTTTTGGAATTTCCATAGCCAGACTTGCCTGGTGCGGGTGTGGCGCACTTGGATACGGGGTGGGTTTCTTTGGCTATTTTGCAATAGTCTGGTGCTTGTTGCACAACATTTTACCTGTTTGAAGGAAAGACTTTCAGTATAGGCTAACTGTCGTGGATTACAGAGCTGATATGAATCACAACATAAATAAAAGGGTTTGTGTGATTTCAGAGAGGTTTATGTGGGTGTGCCTTCACCAAATAAAGTGACCAAAAAACACTGTGTTCTAACACAAAAGTAGAGCCCTGAAAAACAATTTAGACACACAGATACAGTATCATATACCTTTAAAGAAAAATCCCATTAGCTTGTAGCAAGAAAAATGACAACACTTCACTATATCTTCATTATTAACACATACGGTGTTTGGAGAAAATGGAAGCTAACAAAATACGTGGTCAATTTTTCTTTGTACACCTGAGCAGCAGCTTGATGCCGTCCTTGGGTAGCAGCAGCCAGCGTGACTTCACACCTACTCGCTACTGGTGGCTTATTAAATATAGCTCTTGTTGAGCAGAGCTTCCATTTAGGTTGGTGCTGGAGAAAGTGAAGCATTCTCCTGACACTGTGACATGTAAAGAAGATCAGGAAAACAGGTTTGCCAATAGTGCCATATTTCCCTGCATTACAGAATATAATGACACACACTTAGATTGCACTATTTTCAGGTTCCACCCAGATTACAATAACTGGGTGTTCAGTTCTTACATCCGCGCCTACAATAAAATGTATCTTAAGTTGCAGTTCTTCTAATGGCCACTAGATGCTGTCTCTGTGAAAACATATACTGTCTATGGAAAACACCAAATGTGTTTACACTCCAGCCAACCGGACAACTTTACCTAAGGTAGCATTACGTTTGCCTAACTAATCAGTCCTCGCCTTAAAAGCATTTTCCTTTATTACGTCAAAAGTGAAACCATACTGTTTTCAAACGCAAACAAGTAAACAGGTTTATTTTAGAACGAAATAATAGTCTGATCTTACGTTTTTAAGTATTGCTATGTCTCAATTTGCTACTATAATGACACTTCTTATTTTGAGCATTTAAATGCATTCACAGTGACAAGTATGGCAAAATGCAGTGCAATAGGGCTGTGCGATATCTATCGTTTAACGGTAGAAAAACGTCTATCGTTTACATGCTCTATCGTTTATATCGTTGTGTAGCAAATTCCAT